AGCAGTAGCAGCAGACGGCATGGGTTGACGCGTTGATGTTGGCGCATTCGTCGATCTCCGGCATCGGCACTTTCTTTGATCGGGCCACGCGGCTCTAGATTCGGAATTTACCTCTTCGTACCAAATCGGAAGCTGACGTAATCGATGGAAGCCTCTTCATGATAATTACCGAGTTTACCGAGTCAATTAATGACTTCTCTCAGGCACACTTGACAGATTGAGCTTTGGACAGAGGGTGCTGGAATTTGGTCTCTGACTCAATCGAAATTCAGACAGAACGGCAGATATATTACATATTAATAAAGTATTACATTCTATTTATTCAGAGTTCACTTGATCCACCTTGGGCTGGCCGTTCGGCATGATTTTACATTCCCAGAACACCGGATGTCCCATCGTCTCATTATTCGATACATCAACTATTAGTGCGCGAATCCCGAGCATCACTGTGGGAGCTGCTGGGGAACCTCGGAAACTTCGACAAAAGTTCAATGCAATATCCGACGCTTTGGAGTAGTGCATTCTCGGCACGACGATGAGGATCCTCCGTAATGAACGGATAGGAGCGATCGCGTTGAAGAATCCAGTATCCTGGGAATGATGAATTAATGTCTGATGGCGGCGGATTTGAATTTGATGAAACCTACTGTGACGTCGTCGAACGGTTGTTCAAGTATCTCTTCTATCGAGTTGGCTCGATTCAGGAGAGGTTCGATAATGTGTCGAGCTTGACCGGGGTTTAGAAAAGATTTGGGGGGGATTCCTGGGGGTCTGAAGAACCCGACTTTCCTCAAATGAGGCAGTACGGGAGGTAGATCTGCGAGATATTTTGCCGGACTCTCGAGAGGAAATGCGCCATGAAATTGAAGAGATGTGACTCGTGGCCCTCCAGAGTGTCGAAGCAGCATGGCTACGAATCGAGCAGGGCCCTGTATTTGTTGCAGAGACGCCAGCTGATGGGGGTTGGGAATAGCGCGAAGAGCGTGTCTGAGGGGGGTGTCGGAATCCAGATCGCTCGCAAGGAGGACGGATATTGATTTCAGAGGTGCTGGAAATTCGAAGAGACGAGTCAATCCAGGATTTGCTCCGTTAGTACCCGTACTCCTATAGGAGACCGAAGACACCTCAGAAAACGAGCGCATCGCAGACACGATTAGTGAACCTCCGCCACTCGGATGGTAATTCTCAGTGATATTGAGTGTCCGTACCCGAGGAAAAGCAATAGAGCACTGTGCGATTTGGCTGACAATTTCGGAGGGTGGATTAGGGTTCTGGATTACAATTGTCAGCTGTAGAATAGGAAACCCCAAAGGTCGAAGGAGAGTGACATGTTCGTCTCTCCAATCGGCATCGGATATTCTGAGGCTTTCGAATTTCCGAGGACTCGGTAAACGTCCGAATGTTTCGGGAAGGGGGTATCTTTTGAGCATGCACTCGTTGAAAGTGCGTTTAGAAATGGCATCATATAGGTCTTGGAGACAAAGATAAGCGTCCATCTGTGCGGTTGGAGGAACTGATGAACATGGTCCTGACGTTGGGTCGGTTTATGAGGAGACCGACACGTCGGTCGACCGCAAAGACCAGAAAGGGCGGGCATGGCGGAGACAAAGCATGCTACAATTTGAAAGTTGATAGGGTGTCTAGTCACGAACTTCAAAGGCATACGATGAGCTGTGGGGATTCTGGGCTGATGACTGACCAAATGGAGAGGCGCGCCCAAAGACTGAGAGAACTCTCGGACAGTTCGGGTACCTTGCAGAGAAAGGGAGGCAATTCGCGTAGGGATCTCCATCAGCGCCATCGGTCATAGTCTCAGAAAACGACACAAGCACGAAAGACTATATTAAGGACACCTGAACTCTCCAGAGGGTTACGCATTGGTATACTAGACCACTTTCAAAAGAGATACGAGTTTTCAGATGATGTTCAAATCCCAAGTGCCCCCGAAACGATCAAGCGAACCGCGTGGGACATCGATGCGTGATTGCTGTGCAGGAGGCGGAGCAGTGTTGAAATCCGGAACAAAACTGATAGTGAGGGGCCCGAACTGATCGCTTCGATTGAACATGATAAGCTACTAGGAAGACGTAGTTGAGAAGGGTCTGCCAGAGTACGTGCATTGCAGAGTTATCCGATTGAACCTCGGCAATGCCGTGACGTAGTTAACATGGCGATCGGGGGATGTCGATGTCTATGGTGTGGTTCAGGCAGGGATGAGCTCTATGCGTACGAGATTGGAGGAATAGCCTGGGCCTGAACACTTTCCAAAGGCGAAGTTATCGTTGGAGCGGTCAATCAGGCTCAAATCCGGCCAAGCCAGAAGTGTGGAACCAATCCCCATGGTCTTCGAGCTGTCGAACAAATTTAGACCCGCTAGAGACCTTGACATGACATGAATGAGGAAGAGTATCCTCTTCAGCTTGAGTATGATACATAGAGCCTCCGTGGACTGGTCATCAAGCTCGACATCAAAATGAGATGGCAGATGGGAATGTTCGGCCTGTGTTCGGAGCTCGGTCGTACGGGATACTCGGAGAAACTTCGGAGAACGGGCCGACATCAATGCCCTTATACTTATCATAGAATTTGAAAGAGGGCTCCGAATAACGCCGCCTTCTTAGCTCAGTGGTAGAGCGCGTCACTAGTACCTTTCGGCTGCTATGACGAGGTCAGTCGTTCAAGTCGGCTAGGAGGCAAACCTACTTCTTTTGTTTCTTACTCCTTCTTTTGTTTCTCCTTCTGGGCACTGCCTCGATATTCAAATGTAATGGGATTCTTATTACGAAAATGACGAAAAGCGCCGAGCAGTACAAAAACCCATCGTCCGCATGCATTGTAGTCAACCAACTAGCCATGCGCCGTAACATATGGTTCGCTAATCGATGTATCCAGTATTCTCGAAATATTCGTGAGCTTCCTTTTGCGATATCTGACGGAACGCCTCAAGGACTCTCTCACGGATACCGGTGAAACCATCATTGTCTTTAGTAGCCTGGAACATCTTTTTGAGCTTTCGATCCTCCGAAAGTTTCGCTTTCGTCACTAGCAGAGCTTCTTCAATCGGATTGTAGTCCGGAGAATACGGCGGAAGATGGATGATGCGGATTCCGCTGAAATCCGACTCGAAGTCAATCAATTCATGAGTGTCAATAGACATCCGCTTACGCTTTGTTGCAGATGTCACTAATCTTCGCATCACGGCGTGTGAAACTTGGATCCAAGGCAATCACAGATCGACGACTCTTGCTCATACGCCTCACAAGTTCTTTGAAAAATTTGGTCGATTCTGCGACTCTAAGCTCGTGGTCGAAGACCTCGCTGTGAATAACACCTTCATGACCTAAAGCTGAAACCGCATTACTCCTATCATCAAGTAATTAATTTCAATTTACCAAGGATTTGAGAACGCACTCACCTAGCTGGCCGAGGTTCGCTGCGACGAGATGTAGATCGAGTTTGTCGAGGCTTCTGAGGAGACGAGACTGTGGGAGAAAAAGCGTTCTTCGTTTCGACTTGAGACTCCCCGACGAAGACGAGCTTATCGTAGGTATAGGATGATATGATGTCGTCGTACTGATCCCGTAACTCCTCGAGCCTTCCCTTGGCAAATTTATAGACCTTGAAGAGTCATTGTCATAACCTGATGATACCCGAGTGAAAAAACACTCCGCACCTGTTGCCGCCGTAGCCCCCGCTTTCTGAGTTCAATCAACACGTTATCAGCTGTCGATTTGATGCAATGTTCTTCCAGCAGTTCCTCAAGAAGCTCCGGGATGAAGATGTGAGGGCGTCTTCGAACAACTTCGTCTATAAACTACGAGAAGAAACGTGACAAACGAGACGAAGGCGCGTGTAACTGAATGATATACCGATGCATCCGACTTGGATAAATCGTCTCTGCAAGTAAACAGGAAAGGATCTCGGAGAGGAACTTCAGGAACATTGAGGAGACGAGTTCCTTTGAAGCGACTCTCGATATCGCGGATGGCAGGCTCCGAGAGAGCTGTGATCAAGCTGATCTCCTTCCTATCCACGTCCAGGGCGATCATCCGCATTACAATATAAGATAGGTCATAGCTGGATTCCTGGTCTCGAGTCATATTCGACCGTCGAGGTTGACGAGAAAATTCTCAAACACGTAATACAAGACGTAACCATTACCAAGGCCTCCGGACTCCGATCCTTGCCATCTCCCTCGAACTCTGGCTCTCAGATTTAATACTCGACTTTCGTTAACAAACACTCCAATGGTGTATATGCTTTACTACGATATGTGCGCTGATAACAGAATAATTGTTGAACGATTTGAGGGTCGAAATTTGGGTTTACTTGATAGATCGAAACACGATTCGTATCAGAGATGTTTGGAAGACTTTCCGGGCTACAGAGGCGAATACAGGAATACACGTTCAACTCAAGAAATTACAGATATCTCCTTTGCATGCATGAAGAAGATATACACACTACGTCGAACGAATCTAGTCACAGAACGTGATCGCGAGATCCACCTTGAACGGACCTCTTTCAGAATTGTTACGAGAGAACGAGGCTCCGGTGCTTACATTAGGCGCAGTGCAGCTGACGACTTTCCCGTTGGTGGGGTTAGTGAACGCTCCAGGACAATTGGCGGACTTGCCTATGTCAAGGTGAGCTTTCGGCTTAAATGTTTTGGAGAGGGTACGAACAGTCTTCGCCAACACCATTACAGCCGTTGTAGAATCCGAAACCGCTCGTGACGGAGAAAGTGTGACTATGGAACTGTGTGAGAAAGTTCGAGAGTACTAAAGAGCGAAGTGACATACGGAGGAATAAGAGAGATATCGGCTGCCGAGTTTCCCTCATTAGTGAGGGTCCCCTCAACGAGAGTGCAATGCTCTCCGTTCAAGAGGCAATTGCCTGAATTGAATGCGTTATCAGGTCGTTCACAATTCACTTTCGGATATTGAACACCGACCGGTTTGAAGGTACCTGTTGTCAAGTTATTGAAAGGAATCCGGTAACTCGAGAAAGAGCTTACGCAATGAAGCTATCAATAGGACCGTTGTGCGTATAAGCTCCCCCGGTCGAAAGTATGTTTCCGTTTTGAACCAAAGTCGGCTGTATCGCAATTAGGGTCCTGCATCTGAACTGTTGTAGGAGTTCGCACGGTTCCTTTGCCACATCTACGGAGAAATCATTAGTCGATGAAAAAAGCAAGAGAAATATAATCGCACTTGTTCGTAAAGGTGATGGTGTGAGATTCTGCGGTTACAGAAGCGATGAAGGTGCTAACGCAAGCAAGTGCAAAAGCGTTTCTGACGAAGGTGAACATTGTGAGATCGAGTCAGATGTGGTGTGAAGAGTACGAGTGCTGGTAAGAAGTTGTGATGTCGACTGAGAGATATCCAGAGGGCTTTTATAGCTGAATGTGCGCTCACTTGTAGGGGTCCGATCTCCGCTTGCATATCGTGAGCTCCTCGGGCGTGCCGCCCTTCCTTCAACGCCGCCCAAGGGGTCGTTTCATCTTGCGTTGGAGCTGTCAGATGCACCACTGAGAGTGGAACGACTCAATCATCGCAACGGCCGTCCATCCCAGCGCATCACATCCGCCTGTCAGATGAGGACATGATCGAGAGTTTCAGAGTCACAATTGCTGAAGTCGACGCTCAAGAGGTCTCCGGGTACGTCAAATACTCCAACGGCGGTGATATTAGAGCGCTTTAGTGATGAATCGTAGAATCCATTGCTGAGGCTCAGAGGGAGAGGAGCGGATCGAGAAGGAACAGACCGAAGTGCGGAAATGTATGTGACAATTCCATAAAGTCCACGCCTGAGAGTTTGATCCTCGTACTACGAGAGAATCACATCTGGAGAATGCCTTGGCCAAGGGGCTCGAATAATATCTCTCAATACGAGGCTGGGCGCGAACAGGAGGTCATGAGCGGTTTGCATTGCGATGGAGGTATGAAACACGGAATTGAGTCTTGTCGGCGATCCAGAGCCGCATTGAGCGGAGTTGTGAACGCTCAGTGCAACATAATGGGAGTCATTAGATATAAATAAACAGGCTCCACAGGACAACCCATCGAACTGTTCCAGGTGCGGAGACTTCGAGTTGGCGTCGACTCTGGATACTTTACGACGGCAGGAGCTATCTTAGCGTCCGTTGAGACTAGAGCGTTACGTAGAGCCCCGGAGATAGGGTCCATTACGACACCGATTTTGTCTATACTTCAGAAGAGAAATGATTCACCAAGTGAATCACGTCGAACTTAAACTGAGACCAGTTGTGTCAATATCCGGCGTCGACCTAGGTACTGAGCATGATGCTGCTGCAGAAGGAGATGTCATAATATCTCCCGATAATTTCGTCAACAACTATTGCGGGAGACATTGTAGCCTTTGTGGGTGGTATGAGAGGACCGAGCAGCTCCAAATTTTGGCCGTGATGACGGTGAAAATGGAGCACTTCCGAAATGCGACTCCGAAATCTGTCGGTTACACGGCATTGACTCTGGACCGCCCGTACATTATTACATGTTCACGCGACGATCCCATCGATACGCATTATATCGTCAATAGAAAATACCATTATGTGTAGTCATTCACTGTGGGAAAATTGGGAGAAGCGGAGCCTGCGCTCAGTTTGCCATCAAATGTCAAGTTGGAGCGGAAGAACCAGTTGTATCTTGAACATCATAGCGAAGAAAGATTGACAAGGTGACATTGAAAAGGCCACCAACAGCAAAAAGCTGAAATCGTCCGTAGGATCGGTTCGATTCATCGAGCGAGGGTCGTTGATATCGTGACAAATCGCAAGCCAGCAATTGTTGGACTGAACGGCATAAAACGCGAGGATGAATGTGATGTCTGATATCTAACGCAGTGTAATACTCGACCCGGCAGGGATGGAATATGTTGAGTTCATGAGGGACGGCGCCGAAAACTGGATGTGATACGACGACACTTGGCAGGTGTATATCGCGGATGTTCGGGGTGTCGCCTAATATGTCTGATGCACGAGACAAGACGCAGAAGGTTGAAATAATAGACCCCATAGCATGTTACGATAGTCAAGATTCATTGGACTATAGTGATTTGGCCGTGATGAGCACCCAAATATGCGGACATAGTGAGCTCGTATACTAGTGTATTGAGGGCTGAGAGATATCTTCTTCGCAGGAACACACTGGGTTAACCCTCTTTTTGGGATGCGGTCCCTGGGTGGATGCATCAGCCTTATCGACTGCGAAATCGATCAAAATTGGATGAACCAGGAAACTTTAGTTTTGAATCATAGCTAGAAAATAACTGCGACTGAAGGGACCCGATCCTAGGGGAAACATTCTCAGTCACGTCAATTGAAGCTGGTTGAGTGAAGCTGGTTGAAGGTAGGGCTCCAACGTGTCCGTGTACCGGATCCCAAAGGTGGGATCCTACACGTACACGTCCGGTATCGTGTAGTGTACCGTGTAGTGTACCGTGTACCAACGTGTATTACGGAATATATTATAAATATTCAATGAAATATTATTTAAGGACACAGGGAACACCCGCACTGATAGATTTTGCACGACTGGTGTGTATTGCACCCAAACAACTCGAATAATCAATTTATATATTAAATCTCAGTCATCAGTGGACAAGGATGTCATAGAATATACCCAGAGGACCTCCAGAGCTCAATACTGTGGTTACCAACCTGAAATTAGACTGT